ACCCTTCGATATAGATAAAACTATTCATATAATTAATTATACAACTAACCATTCGTTTGACTATATTTTCGAGGTAATCAAATGTTTTACTAATAGCCAGGACCGGTTGACAGATTTCTTAGGCTTTTCCTACAGGATAAAATGACTAACAAAGAGAAAAGGATAAAAGACCTCTGAATGAAAAGTATTTCGGCATATATAATTCAATTCAGGAAGCAAAAATACCAATTATAATACTTACTTGGAACTGATCGCCTTAAAATTTTTCATCCAGTGGACAGAGAGAAATAAAAGCCTGGAGGCCGTTTCACATATAAACTGTATGTTTAATTCATTAGGCATTGGCTGTGGCACTGGTAATTCGAACTTTGCTCGCTAAAAATCCAAATAGAAAGAAAAATCCTTGAAGGAAATCAATCCATATCATTTTCAACAAGTTTTTAAAATTCGTCCCAAATTAAATTCAAAAGAATTAAAATCATTTTAATTAGTTAATAATCCATTTTCTTATTAATCGATTCTATTAATTCTAAACAATTAAAATCAGAACATGCGCTCATTTCTCTTGACCATATCATGAAGATAGAAACTACAAAGGGCGATACCGCATTAGACGATTGTTTTGGAAAATTAAGTAATGAAAATCACCTCAGGATTTAATAAAGAGCCATCTTCAAGCAACGATGAACTTGCACCACTAGATGACGGTGATGCTGACAGAGGTGCGCGCAGAAGAGCTGCTACTGCAGTTTCATCATCCTCTCTACCGAATTTATTCTGCGTAATAAGCAATAAATTACATCACACTTATGAGTGAAAAAGATGAAATACGAAAACAAATCTTCCGGTCAAGATAATGTTTCTTTGCTAATCAATTTCACACATTTTTTGATAAGATATTCACCATGGAGATGTAGAATCTTCCCAAGATGTAAGATTGAATTCACCATGATATTACAAAAACTAATTCATAATACAAAATGAAAATTTACCTCATTTACTATCGAAGACTGAAGTTCAGGACTAATTGAAGCGGGTCGAACTACAGATAATGGACTGTTTGGTGATATATCGACTGCTTCTGAATTCTTCATCTCATCCGGTTCTTGCTTCAACTGTAATTATTAGAAATCGTCGAAAATACGTCTGGAGAGAACCTCAAAAAATTCATAACCAAAGTTGACTTGATTCATTTGAAATTTCATTATTCATATAAAAATTTTGAAGGTCACCTCTGTATTTGCCACCTCATTTCTCACAATCGCCAGCAAGCCATTCATGAAAGCATTTTCTTGTTTCACAATTGGAGGAGTCTACAATTAGAAATATACGCAACAATCATATGCGACATATGGATTTTATATGACAATTTTTTTTTAATTTTACAGCATTAAAAACAAAGTGAAAATATCTGCATATCAAAATTCTGAATTCACTGATATTAAGCAAACATCTATAGAACAAAGAACAAACCGACCCTTAAAACTTCTGGCCTAAGCGAAGCAGATGATGTTGTCGCAACCATTGTTGGTGCCGCCTCGTTATTCGATGCTGAACCAACAGGTCGTCTTTCCGCTTGCACCGCTTCAAAAATAGGATTACCACATTAAAGCAATTTAAAGATATCGATAAATTTATTTCCTAATTGTAACCAATTAATAACATAAACATTTAAATCGGTGGATTCTCCAGAAACCAGTTACCCGCCAGTCATCATGTTAAAAAGGGCTGCTTGGTTATGCGGTGCAGCACGTCTTCTGAAATCAACACAACTCTCAGCCAAGGCGATTTCTACATGCTAGCCATAAGCTAGTCTTTTTAATCCGGTCACTTATTAAAAGGATCCCTGGCCATTCATCATTTTAAAGTATTCTTTTGAAATCTTTCGACATCAATTACAACTATCACTAAGTGGAAACTAACACTCGCTTCGCATTCCCATAGTAAGACATTTCCGCAAACGACAATACTGACATCGATTACGATGGAATTTTGTCACTGGACAATCTTTTGTTCCACGACACACATATCCTATCTGAAATTACTTAATTTCAAGTCTAAAAGCAGATGGAGGTGATTTTTAACTATGAAATCGATAAGAGTACTCTTTTAAATTAGAACATTTCAATGAAACGAACAAAGTATAAACTGCCGTATCCGCAATAATTATTTTAATCGGTATGTAGGGGGAGCCAAGATTAATGCACACTGCAATAAAAATAAAGACTTACAGCTTGACATCTACAAAAATTCTAATCCAAAATTGGTTACATAAAAAATCCATTCTACAGATATACCATAAACTTTGTGTTTAGTAGAGACTTTCATTTCAAATAGGTGGAGAGCAAAGGTCCACAAACTGATATTACATGAGAATGTCTTGTAAGAAGCAGAAAACAAGTTTCTGTCTTCTGCAGCATTAATTAAATCAAAGATAAATTGATCAAGTATACAATTTCTGGTTCAAGTAATATTAAGTCTTATTAATAAATGTGCAACAAAGTACCTGTTTTCTGATACTGCGCTTGAAAAATCCTTTACATCCTTCACAGCTCACAGCACCATAATGTCTTCCAGATGCCTTGTCGCCACATACGACACACAATTCGACACACATATCCCGAACTGCTGTTGATGCACTCGTCGTACAATGAGGTGACGATGCACTGCCGCCGCGCGATACGTTACCTGCAGCCGATGAATGATGAACTGACGCTGCGGCTGCCATCAGCTGAAATATTCACACAATTGGTAATAAACTTGGTAAATCACATTTAGTACAAATATGCAGAGAAATCCTGCAACGGTTCCAAATTGCACGTTCTCTATGGGATATCTGATAGCCCATTTGTTAGCGTGGTGTGTGACCCCAACTCAAAGATAAACGATAAGGTAAAGCGCCCAGCGTATGCAGCTACAGCTGAAACTACTGATAGCTCCGCTGGCAAATGAAAATGACTAAGGCTACTTTATCGATTCAATTTTGCATGCTTTATTCACATAAAGTCCGATGAAAGGTCAACCAGGATCGATAACCGGCTGTCAACAACCCTCTCCCCTCTTCTCATAATGTGTCTACCATGCAGGGCTACAGGAAGCAAGGGGAAAGAGTTACTGCACACAACTGGTTATTGAAATACGTTCTTGACAGAAAGCAACTATTAACTGTACAGCCGCGACAGCAGCAGCAACGGCAACAACGCAGCATACTGTCAACTATTCCTTCCTTTCAGTACTAGTCTCATTTAATGTAATTATTAAAGTTAGAAGTGAAAAGCGAATGCTGTTTGTGTACAGAATGACCGTTATGAAGTACAACTAATTGCAAGACATCTGTTGTTATTATCAAGCATGATGTGAAGGGCAGAGAGCGAGCTCATAGTTGCTACATAGTTGCTAGCTGGCAGCTACGTTCCCACTGCGAGAGGGTCGCATGATGGTAGCAACGATACATCAACCACTTACCTCACTCCATACAATATATCCTCTGTCTGGAAGAATTTGTCAACTAAATTGTATTTAAAGTGTATTTTTAACTTTCCTGCTTAATTTACATAAATGCCACTAATAGCATCTTCATTATTACATTATTATGCGATTCGGTGACCACATCGAATTCACTGGAAAAACGTCAAGCTGAGAAATGTATCTATCGAAAGAAGGAGAAAGGTTAATAACCAGTTATTATAGTACCAGGATGTGCACCAAAACCAGTGCACTGCCTATTGCCGCAAACATACGTTTGCAGACAGATGCAGCTTTCGCAGCTTCATTGCCCTCAAATCAATAGACACCGTCGATATTTGACGTGATGCTATTATCCTTAGTCAGACGCATCCTGTCTGCTTTTGCCTCAATAGATTTTAAAAGCAATAAGAACAAATCCTATACGCGCAGCAAATTCAAAATACGACATGAAACTGGCGAGTGGATCAAAAGAACCCACTAGCGATTCATCATCATTACGAAGGATCATATTCCAAATGTAAGTTCCTTCTTTCAAATTTTATATTACCCTTACTTTTTCGTCTTGTAATTAACTAATTTTGATTCCAGGATAAAATGGGAGAAATGTGAAAAACCAATACTGCTCTTTAACTTGAACTTCACACTGGCTATTGGTATGGTTAATCATCTGATAAAAGTCATGCTTTTCGTTGTTACCAATAATGCCATTTGTTTAACTCAAACTCATAAGTTTAAGATCGGCATTATTATAACTTACAGCTAATCAGTACATCTCGTCTCCAGATGGTAAGGAACATGGATGTAATTGAAGTAGGACCATTTGCCAATAACCAATCCTGCCGTTAAATTCATTTGTTAATTGGACTGCCCTCAGTTATATGTTGAGGAACAGCTATATAAGGTAATGAATCCAAACTAAAGTCGTGTATCTTTGAAATCTTCGTTATCTATATATACTTCATTCGTGTTACCTCTACCAACAATTATGTATCAAAAATTTTTTTTCATCCATATCAAGCTTTTGCAATATTCATCTCTAATTCATCAAGGTCAAAACTAGAGCAGGCTAATGATGTAAACACTTCCAATGTTCCTTAATTGAGTCAAATCTACTAGTATTGATAAACAGCGATATTACCCAACTATAACGCCTCTCTTCAAGTATGCCAATTTAATTGGCAATGAAAATATGGAAGAATTACACCAAAAAAAGGCTTTTTGGAGTGAAATATGTAATTAAATCTAACTTGGGAAATTTGACAAATAATTCGTCAAGGTGACTTTTCTACAGTAAAACATTATATTATTATTCGTAGTCAGTACTATTCGTACTAAAAGATTCACAAGGCGAGTTAAGATGGTATCACTTTTTGTAAGTGAACTATAAGAGAGTAAGGAAAGAATACGATAGGTATGTCGATAATAAGAATGATGTGAAAGCAGGAAACAGTTGAAAGAAATTAGTATAGGTACAGGAGATGGTAGAAAGGGTTCAAGGGATAGTTGATAGAGTTCAGTAGCTGCCTTCGACCTCAAATGTATGAAAACCATCCGGCGGTGATGCCCCGACGACCTCGCACAGGCCGTGCAGCCATTCGAAATTGAGGTCTATGACCCCATGCACCTATTCAATTTGTTTTGCATAACTTTTCAATGAATCTATTTCCAGTGGGAAAGTTACCCCATTGAAGGTATTTATTACTCTACTAACACCTCAATAAGCCATCGCCCTGACAAGGTGTTTCATCTAGCTGCTTCAGTGTGATTGGAGAAACACAGAGGTCAAATCCCAACAAAATGAGATGAATAATGCACAAGCTCTCAAAGTACATGTTCCAAACAAGCAAACCATGCAGCAATGATGCTTCGCTCCTTCACGCTAAAATTATTGATCAACAAAGAGCTATAGAGAGAAAGTATGCAAGAGTGAATGCACTGTCATCTATGTGAATTGTTTATTAAGCTATGTGGGAGCAGAAAGCAATTAGTACTAGAGGTCGTAACCTCTGGAAAAAGCCCAACTTTACTGGACGTTTCCAGAGCTACAGAAGAAATCACTACCGATCTCCTCCCCACATTCCTTCAATCCGTGGACTTTCAACCACTTCTCCTCCCTCCTCCTTACCCAAATGACAACGGAGAGGAAGTGCGTTCAGTTACTACGAATGCCGGATAACAATGAGGAGGATGAGTGACGCAGACAATGGGTTGATCTTCGAAAGGACACGCAGCTTATGTAACTCACGGCTAACAACAAGCAACACCGCCACTACCACTAATACTGCATCTAGCAGTGGCTGTGTAAAACGGGAGAGACGCTGCATCGCAGCAGCAGCAATCGCTGCAACAACCAGCCGCCCCAACGATCGTCAGTCCTTTGTCCACAGAGGTGAAATAGTGAATTGCATAAGGACGGAGGCCGCTGGCCGTTAATTCCTCTTCCCTCCGCGCCCCTCCCCCATATTCTATATCTTTCTACACTGACTTACCGCTGAGTTAGCGAGTGAAGGCAGACGAGCATGCTGGCTGATCTGATGGACCTGCATGCTGTCAGGCATGCTCTGCGAAAACCTTGACAATCAGAATAAGTAAGCCTACCTTGGGCACAATAAATCCTATGTTGAGGTGAAGTGATCTTCGAAAAGGGCAAAGGTCACTTACAAGGTAACACTGCTCATATCTCAAATCTCACTAACTAAAAACATACTACTACGTGAACGATGTAGACCCGCATACGACCGAAGTGATTTGCTTGCAATCAATGTGACTGCGTTATCCATAAAGGATAAGTGTCTACAGCGCCCTACTAGTTAAATGCGCTGATGTTCATTTTCCGGTGAAATACACTTCACTATGATTACTCTCCTTCCACCCTCCCGTTTGTTATTTTTTTTAGACCGTAATCCCCTAACCATTCTGATTCAGTTTCAGATGAATTCAAGTGGGTCTGATTTCTTTTTATTCGGTGTTAATTCATATATCTGATTTTACTTCAATTCCACTTTCCACTAAGTAGTTCACACCATGTGCTTCTTTCGTTGAATGTTAAAATGTAAAGATGTTCGTTTAAATTTGTTAATGATCAAGCTTAGTCAGAAATGTGCATGTGTTATTCAGCAAGGCAAGTTTCATCCAGACAAATAACAAAACTCGCTCACAACAATCAAAGATGTTTTATGGGCATATCATCAGTCTGAAATTTGCTTGTCTATCTTTAATAATTTTTTTTGCTATTAACTTCTAAATTATTCCTGTATACGTCATTTACTATAATACAATCATATCTATCTGCTTCATTGTCGTTTTCTAGGCTCATTACTCAATATTTTATTCCTGGCTGCAATATTTGGAAGTTAATTAACTGAAAGTTGTATTTAAATGCAGTTGACTAGTTAACTTTGACATAATTTTAAAACATTGCAATTTTCAGGTCTTTTATTTTTGCAACCTCCTTTCCAATTTCTGGTAATTCTTTTTTTGGCTGATTTAACATCATGAAATAACAGCGGTGAAGTTACAAGCGAAGAAATAAATATCTCATAAAGGAAAAAAGAGACGAAAAGATTTGTTTGCATTTAGATTCTAACAAACTTTCATAAAGTGGTATGCCAATCTAAATGGCCACTTTTCAATGTGCTGTGAGTTATCGAAACACATTATAAAGCGATTCCATTGGGAAGCATGTAAAGAGATGTTGAATAAAAGCAAAGACGTGTTGAGTTTCAATGAAACCGTTTGAGCGGCTTGCGAAATGACAAACTTCACTGCAGTAGCAGGCGTACTTATGCTAACAGCGAAGCACAATTGCAGTTCGATAAAAAAAGTGAGAAACTAAAAGATTTGAAGGAGATGGTATGGGGGTTAGAAACGAAAGGCAGTAATTTTTAAACTGATCATGATATTTTGCATATTTTTGGTTGCATGTTTCGCTAGTTCTTTTTGAAATATTTGAATGGTTAATTCATTGGGTTTTAAAATACTCACCTAACAAACTTTGAAGAAAGCAAAATCTTGGACAAATTTTAATTTTTTTCTACTTTTGGTTAATGAGCTGTTTTTTCTTTGCGCCAAATTATCACTTGTGGACTTTCTCGAATGTTTTCTTTTTTTTTTTTTTAATCAACTTTTAGATCAAATGAGATATTTTTTGTACGAAAGCTTCTAAAATTTCCCTACAGTGATAAAATTATTTGGTAACAAATCTCTATAGTTTTATAGATTAAAATTAGGTTGATAAGTCATTTTTTACTTGAACAGTTTGCTGTTCTTTTTTATAGGTCAGTTCCTCTGAAACATTCTTGCTTTTTTTGTTTGGAAAATCTAGTACGTTTAAAAAGAAAAAATTGCAATCAACTTAACCTAAAGGAAAAAATAATTGGCCATTCTCATCACTTAAATTTTCTTTTGTGACAAAGTTTATTACACATTTGGAAAGTATGGACACTTATTAGGAGGTATTAACAAATTGCTGTACTTAGTGCAGAAATACATTTCCTTCTCCTCTCTCTCTCTCTCCCTCTCTCTGATTAATGTATAAGTAAAGTGGATAATCATAGAGCTAAAGTGTCGCAACTATGGTGTAACTTCTTCAAATTATTTTGTTTAACATGGAAGAGGAAACAGTTGTCATTCTAATGTTTTTGAAAGAAAATGAACCTGATTGCCGTGTAATGCGGATAACTGGTGCAGCATTGTTGGCATTATTTGGCCGTTCCTGTCATTACAGCTACTGTGATGCATTAAGGAATTTTGCGCAGTTGCTGCCTAAATTTCAGGAAATTACAATTTTTTCTGGAACATAACATCTACAATTTTCTGATAATTTGTCTTTTAAAAATTTCGTTAGTGCGAATTAGTGTCATAGTAGAACACTGATTCCCTAAAGATGCTTACCATATGCCTGACTTTCACGATCAAAAATTCAGAAGATGTTTTTGGCTTCCTTCAGATTTTCAGAAGTGATATTTGTTTTGAATATTTCCTAAGTTCAATGTGATTACAGATAATAAAAATGATAGAATTTTTAGTAGCCAGTTCCTGATTGTTAACATCCATTGCAGTTAAATACGATTAACGTGGATTTGTTGAAAAATTAAAATTCGTTCAAGGAAAGTAATTTCTGACATAGAGATTAGTCCAGGTTTGACATTGAACAAGAAGAAAAAGGTCTATGCAACAAAATAAACCTGCATCATTGAAAGAAGAGTATTTGGAGTACTAAGCAAACCAATTTGTGCAGCCATCATTGCAGGAGTCAATAGTGGACTGAAAGCAGTGACCGGTATACCAGGAGGTTGTAACTGATCTAAGTTACTGGTTGTTCTTGCACTGAATGCACTTAGTACCGGTATTGCACTGTCACTCTAAAATACTTTGAAATTTTGCATATGCGATTGGTTGTGAATGAAAAATAATTAGCGATGAAATTTATATATTATTACGAAAGAAAGACAGCCTGGTCTATACTGTTTTGTAGCCTAATAACCTTTTGGTAGAGTCTGAGTAAACCAGTGGAAGCGACACTATCGACAGTCGATGTTTCAGAGCTTTGAGGTGGTGATGATGTTGTTGGTGAAGGTAATGGTTCTGTGTTTGAAGAATTCGCTGCCGGAATTCCGCCAAGGGTCTGAAACTCTCGAGTTTTTAATATTTTTGATTACAATCGTTTAAAAAAGGCATGCAAATGTTTGACTATCGCTGCTTGTGTAACATTTTGTTCGTCTAATATTGAATCTCCGATGTTTATTTGTTATACATGAATTTAATTAAATATTAATTTAGGTAGTGGTTTTTCATAAATACATATTTCATGGCAATAAAAGCCAAGACGTTCAACTGTTTGGCGCCTCAAATAGTCTAATCAGCGCTCAATTATTGGGTAAAACAAACTACGACAAGATATGTTTTAGAGCAATCACGAACTTTTATATCTCTTTTATGCAGAAATGTAGAAGCAAATCGCATTAGTTTCATCACTTAATAACATTTCGGCGAATTTGCTTTAATAGAATTCTCTAAAATGGCTGTTCAGCATGTATTCCCAATTAGAGAATAGAATATTATCTATCGCAGATCATTGATATGCGTTCAGAAGATTTTACAATTAAATGATCGTTATAGTTGCAAATGGACAGCTCTTTTTTAATATTGATATGGTTTCAACTTACAAGTTTGTATGCCCGCCAAGAACTACTTCTAAATCATAGTATCAGTAACAGCACTTCTAATACTAATGTTTAAATACAACTTCTGTTTTTTACTTCCTGAAGGAGTTTCAGCTTTTATTACTAGCCATATACATGATTTTAAATTGCTCAAAAGTAACGGTATTGTTGAAAAAAATGAAACGACATGAAATCATGGAAAAATTATCAGATTTAAAATATTTAATCCGAAACTGTATTTCTTATCAAACCGGAAAATCCTGTTGACTAGAACAAGCAAAATATCATCTAGAACCAGCACATGAAAGTGATGAAGAAAATATGAGTTCTGGGATTCTTAATTTGACTTACTTTTCCATCACATTAATGGTGACAATTAGCATTTCCGTCAAAAATAGTATTTCAAGCTGTTTCACTTATTAATCGTAGAATCTCAGACAATATTCGCTATCTCTAATTACCTGATCAGTAGTCGCCTCATCATGCTTGTGAGTCTATTTGACTTTTTAGGGAACAGACTGGAGGAATCTAAATAGAAGTATCATTATCCTATGCTCCCAGCTTGAAATTGTTGTACTATATTATTACAAACCTGTAGGGATAGAATGGAGATTTTAAAAAGATCTCCTATTTGTCAAGGTTAAACGTTTAATAAAATAAATAAATGTGGTGAAATGGGATTTTCAGCAAAACAAATTAAAATCAGCAAATTTCAAAACAGTCAGTTTGTGGTGGAGCTCTAATGTCATCGGTGGTGTCAGTGAGTAAATGGAAGAGGGCGAAGATGAGAGGGCACAGGGCAGACAGAGGCAGCTTGACCCTTGACCGCACACTCACACTCCCCAGTACCGCTCGTACCAGTCACCCGATGCACCCCCATTCGACAAACACGACTTATTTCGTTCCTTGTGCTTTCATCTCCTTTCCTCCATAAGTGTATACTTGGGG